AATGGGCAGCGTGAGGATTTGAGTAACTTTGACTACTATCTATGACTGCTTAGGCAACAGTCATCATGGAAATTTTTCGTATTTTTTCTATGGTTTTTATGGCTCTACTATGCCCAGAGCTTCCAACCTCAACCGCAACAGCCAGCAAGGCAATACTCTCTGGAGTTCTTAATACAATGGGACAACCTGCACTGGGTGAACATGCATATGGATCCACTTTTCATTCAAGATTTAAACACTGATATCGCAAGGAATAAGGCACAGGATTGAGACAGAAAGTACACCACTCTAAGGCGAGGACACAAGCATTACCACTCCCCTCGATAATCCTTGCAAATGTTAAGTCGCTCACAATCTATCTACACGAATACAGAGACGCCTGCGTCATGGCTTTCAGTGAGACATGGCTCACATCTTCAGACACAGACTGTCAGACTGGACAGGAACATGGAAGCTACGGGGAAATGCCAAGGAGGCTGTAGGAGTAAGCTAGAGGAGAATCTAAGCAGAAACAATCTGAAGGTAGCGTGGGGAATGTGGAAAATGACAGGCCAACTAAAAACTGTAAACCAGACGGTTTGTATTCCAGGCTATGGAGGAAACAAAGACAAAGCCTGCCCACCACTAAGTCAATCTTGAGGTTTGAAGTTGGTGATGTAAAGACAGTATTTCAAAAGAATAAGATTAATAAGAGCCCAGGGCCAGATGGTATCACAGGAAGAACAGCTCTGTGATGGGTTCTGTTATATATTCAGGATGTCTCTTGAACTGCGTAGGCTTCCAAAGTTATGGAGTCCATTGTTGTCCTGGTGGAAGAGCAGAACCCCTAAAGAGCTAAATGACTTCAGACCAGAGGCACTGGTCACTGGTCATGAAGTCATTTGAAAGGCTGGTCAAAACAGAACTGCTGGAAAGTGTGGGGGAGGCCCTGGACCCCCTTCAGTTTGCATATAGGGATGGGAGTAGAGGATGCATTGATCACTTTATTCCACTTTGTGCACAAACACCAGATTTTTATTTTTATTTTTCATCTGCATTTAATACTATTCAGCCAGATGTGTTAGCTAAGAAAGTGCTTTGTGATTTTAATCTTGATGTAAATTTAGTGGGCTGGATGTGAGACTTTTTATCATGAAGGTCTCAGAGGGTGAGATTAAATGGCTTTCTGTCATAACAGCGCTCCTCTTCCGCTGGCTCTCCTCAGGGCAGTGTCTTGTCCCCCTTGCTTTACATTCTCTACACCAACGACTCTAGAAGCCAGCACGGGGACAGGCACATCCTGAAATATGCTGATGACACAGTTATCAGGACATTGATGAGGCCGTTACAAAGACCAAATATAGTAATTGATTTCAGAAGGAAATTAACCAGGGTGCCCATGTGGTCATAATGTTATGGCTGATTGGTGTATTTGGGCCTTGAATTATTTGGGACTGGTCTGTCACACCAGTGTGCCCAAATAGTTTTCTCTGATTTTCACCCACATATGACCCACAGTGTTTAGCCCTGAACAAGGTTTAAGGTCATTTAGAAACAGTGTCACTATTACAGAGTTTGTCCAGCAGAGGGAACTGTAAAAAGTCCTGCTCTGTATATATCTTGGTCACAATTAAAAATCTAAGGATTTCGACTGTTCATCAATATACTTTATACATTTTTTTGGCTTCCAAATATCAATATTAGTATCAGCCTAAAAAAACCTTCAGAAATGCTTTGCACAAGCTTTGAACACTATCAGAATTCACACATATTGCAGACTTCTGGTGTTGATACCACACCCTCTGCTGGTGTTCATAATTCTCCCCTCGGTGTATAAATAAAATTACCACAAAAACACTTTTGGAAAGTTGTTTTGAGCGGCTCCAGATTTAAAGCTTTTTAGCAGTAATATAGTATCACACACATATTTTCCAGGCTATTGCTTCACTCCCACATTAAATCCAGCAATATCCAGCAGCAGCACAAAAGCAACATTGATGGAGAATTATTCTCATGCCAAGCAGCACTGACCCTCTGTTGACCCAATACAGCAAGACTGCTGGCATTGTGCAGATTTTGAACATTAATATACAGTGATTGAATCATGTCAGTATTCCTGCTGTGATTAGTGGTTATGTTGTTTAATTGGTCCTGAAAAGTGAAATACAGGTTATTTTCTTTAGGCACCATTTGGTACTGCGAAATAAAATCCACAAACAACATAATTATAATTAATACATAAATATTGTTTTAAAAATGTAGTCAACCATGCTGCGAACAATGTCATTCTGGCACTGACCACCACTGATTGGATCCGAAATATTTAATCTAAACTTAATTTTATTAACCCTTCTTTTGTCACAGTGTGATGGCTAAGCCTTTTGGTCCAGAGGTCAAGTTCAGGCTGGACATGGGCACAGCACATCCTGCACCCAGCATCCCGGCGAGAGGACAGTGGTCAAGCAAAGTTGAGTTCCTCTTGGCTGTCGCAGGACAAATCATAGGCCTAGGAAATGTCTGGAGGTTCCCCTATCTGTGTTACAAAAATGGAGGAGGTGAGCTTCATTATATTCAAAGAAGTTTGGGGAAATACTGGAAAAAGCAGCTACTGTCTTTAAAAGTACCCAACACACCAAAAGCAAACAAAAGTGTTAAAAAGAACAAAAGGAAATGAAGGACCTACCTCTACCATCTACCACTGTGATAACACACATATGTTGCATTTACAAAAAAACACTGCAAGTTAACTAATTAACGTTCACAACACATAGCAGGTGTCATATGGAAAAACACCAGTGTCACCATCTTAATGTCATTCTTATGGGTTACTCAAAGTGTTGAAACTAGAAACAATTTATGTGGTGTGGTTTTCTATTTTTCCAAGGGGTGTTCTTCATCCCTTATGTGCTCTTCCTCTTCACCTGCGGCATCCCCCTGTTTCTCCTGGAGACGTCTCTCGGCCAGTACACCAAACAGGGAAGCATAACCTGCTGGAGGAAAGTTTGTCCCCTTTTTGAAGGTAAAGATCTAGAATTACTATCAGAGTATTCATGTGAAATCTTCAATTCTTATTTATACACCTATAATTATATTATAATACAAACATAGTTGTTCCATTCCTGTCAAAAGATCCTCCTAAAGGTTACACACTGAACCTTTAAGTCATAAAGAAATCTGTAAATATGAGGTGCTGCGAACTTAAAATCTTTTTATAAATTGCAACCGTTCAAATCTAATCATTCACATCACAAATGCAGAATGCAGTCATATTTTTCTAAAGTTGCTGCAGTGAATGTAGGACAAAATATACACTCACACATCACAAAATGTGACATTACACACAGAATGTATAAATCTGCAAATCTGTGTATGAGTTATGTAATGAGAGTAACACTGTATTATATTTAATCATTTGTCACAAATGAAGGACAGAAAGTGGTTGAGAGCTCAGCTTCAGATACGGTCTTTATGAGTTTTGTGTGCTCACACTTTTGCTACAAATCTTGCAGGGATATGTGATGAGCGCGATTTGAGAAACAGATGTTCCACAACTTAAACATATGAGTTGAGGTTAAAGGTGAACATTTGTCCTTTGACATTTTCCCACAAAATAAGTGTATTCCACACTAGTAAAAATGACAAAAACAATAAAAACAACAAGCTAAAGCACATAGAATAAAAACAATAAAAGCAAAAAGGCAGAAACAAATAAATCAGATTTTTTTCAGCTAAGAGTTTAAGGTAGTTGGTAGCGTGGTCTCCAGCCATAGCATTCTCCATGTTTGGTTTAGACTCTGGGAACAGCCAGCAAACCATTTCCTTACTATACTGTGGTGTACAACTTATTAAATGCTTAGAACCTGTAATTTTAGGATGCACTTTATACATAAAAAAAACTGCCTTTAGCACAGACTGGGTCTCTAAAGTCCTTTATCATGTCCTCTTTTCTTTCTTTTTTTACCAAAGTATGATTAAGTTTATCAATTATCTTAACAGTGCTGGATTGCCCTATAACTCTTCTTGTCTTTGAAGAACTTTGTGAACCCATATCTTTCTGATTTTCTTTGTGTTTTTCTGTGCACAGCAGAAACAGGTCATCAAACTTTTATCAATTTTCCTATCATTCTGTCATTCATCAGTGTGGATCGTTCCAGTTAGTTATTGTTCTTAGACAAACCAGTGAAGAGTCCATTGCTGGAGATAATGGCATGTAAAAGTTTCTCCAGATTATGCTTCTTTTATTTTATTGTCTCAGATACCTTTGCAAATAAATTTAAAAGATTTGTTCTCCAAGTTTCACACCATCTTTTCTGTGAAACTTAAGAAATTGTCAGGTTCTGTGAATTAATTGTTCACCCATAATAAACAGGTATTTCATCTTTGACATGGCTCCCTTTGGTTAAATATTCTCCTGTGAGCTGTTACATGTGGCCGAATGATTTACAAGAATTTCTTTCTCATACAGTCAGATACACACAATCTTAGTAAATCAACAACAGTAGAAAATGATTCCTTCATCTAGCAGCCTATCTGTGTATTGCAAAAGCATTCAGATCATACTATGATACTGATGGCCTTTAAATTACATTATTAAAATAAGTAATTAATGAGTGAATGAACGTTGAACGTGTATAAAGTCTAGAAGAAACTGCATTCCTTGTTTGCCAAACAAAATACTGTATTATTAACTAGTAGAGCAACTGACTTATCTTCTGAAATAGTTTCCTTTTCATACACTTTTAAAAAAAATTGTAGTATTTTATATTATTTTTATTATTTCATATTGTTTAATACAGTTGGTTAGGATCTTTTTTTTTATCTTTCGGGACATTTTTGGCACAAAAAGTACTCAATACAAAGGCTTCACAGTAATCCAGTTTGTTCATTTAATTGAAGTGATAAATTAGAGATTGCTTACTTTGTGTTGAGCTTGTGATTTAAATACTTTGTTTTTGATTTTTTTTTCAGGCATGGGTTATGGCAGTCAGGTGGTTGTTTTGTACTCCAGTATCTATTACATCATCATATTGGCCTGGGCTTTCCTGTATCTCTTCTTCTCTTTCAACTCTGAACTACCTTGGGCGAGTTGCAGAAACAGCTGGAACACAGGTAGGTGCCAGTATGTGAACTGACTGAACAAACATACATATTGCTGTGCATCTTTGTCTCTGTCCGTCTTTCACTCTTTACCCGACCATCCCCTCCCCCCTCTACCCAACTGTCTCGCGGCCATCCACAGGAAGTTTCTCCTTGCTGCTCTTACCAAGTGCTTACTCATGGTGGGAACTGTTGGGACTCTGTAAATAATTTTGGTACGGTTTAGACCTGCTCTATTTGAAAAGTGCCCTAATATAACTTTTGTTATGAGCTGGCACTATACAAATAAAATTGAGTTTAATTGAATTTAATTGAAACAAACAAAAATTATAAATCTTTAGTGCCAAAATGACAAATGATTGCATTTGCACAATGTTAAGGGAAATCATGATACTAATACTGGCAATAACTCTTAGCAATAGCTTTAGACTAGGCTATATGGAAATGTCCCCCATTCAATTTTTAGAAAATGTATAAGACATGAAAATGTTTCTAAAGGGTTGAGGGGTTTGTACAAAGGGATAATGAGTTTATATGTCCTTGAATACCTTGTTTAAAACGTCCTGTGTTCCTTTACAACAGAGAATTGTGTGGAGTTTGATCGAAGGAGTAATTATTTGAATTTGACTCTGTCCGAAAATGCAACATCCCCAGTGAGAGAGTTTTGGGAGTGAGTATGAAATATAAAAAATCCAATATGACAATAAGCTCTGAAAGTGACATTTGTTAATTATAACTGAAAATGTGGTTGGTTTGCAGGAGAAGAGTTTTAAATGTCACAGGAAGTGTCCATGAGTTAGGCAGCATACGATGGGAGTTGGCTCTGTGTCTTCTGTTGTCCTGGATCATCTGTTACTTCTGTGTCTGGAAAGGAGTAAAGTCGACCGGAAAGGTACGACAAGGACTTTTTTATGTTGTATGCAAACTACCAAGCAACTCTGAAACTGGTAAAGGGCAGCAGCACATTAGGTATGGGTTAACAATCATTTTGGCAGATGCAATGCCTCTGTCACTTCAAGTTAAATACAGATTTCAGAATATGGTGTGTATGGTCTGAAAGAGCGGTGTCGGGCCACAGGACTTTAGCTAATTGTTTCACTACCTCAAACATAATATTGAAACTCTCTCTGCCATCCCTACAGGCGTGGCTCGAGGGATGGTAATGTCACTCTGAAAGCCAATACGCTACTTTGGTCTGGACTGAAAAATCTGTTTGCACACTTTCAGGTTCCCCTGAAGATAAACTGCACTAACTTTGGTGATCCTTCAAATTGTCATTTTGTCCAATACTTAACCAAATAAGATCTGACTCGGCTATGCTTTGTGTGTTGTGCTAATTAGCAACTTAGCAACTAAGAAGGTGAAAATGGTTAACTTAAATGAAGCTTTGTTGAATATCATTTCTGGAGCTGGGTAGGACTGTCAACACAGCTATCGATGTCCACAGTTTTGACACAAATGAACCCCAAACATGACTCTTCCACAGGTAGTTTACTTTACTGCCACATTTCCATATGTGATGCTGGCGGTGTTGCTTGTTCGTGGACTCACGTTGCCCGGGGCCTTGGTTGGGATCAAGTTCTACCTCTACCCAGATCCATCCCGCCTGGCTGACCCACAGGTATGCATAGATTTTACTACATCTCTATCATAATGATACGCGGCTCTACTGAACCTACTGCCTAATCTCTGATGTGCACATTTAGTATATGACACATTTTAAATGCAAAAAGCTACTTTTGTGGAAAGTTAAGGGGGAATCAAAGCTCAGGAAATTGAAAAAGATCAGTTACTTATACAAGATCACTGTATTTGCAGGCTTTTGCTGATACATATAATATCGATAGATATAAAGTATTATGATTCATGAGTTTTGAAGAGATTCACTGCAGTTACACAGTAAAATCCTTTCATTTGTAATTTATTGAAGATGAAAACATATCCTTTATTTGTCTTTCAGGTGTGGATGGATGCTGGCACACAGATATTCTATTCCTATGCTATTTGCATCGGGTGTCTAACTGCACTTGGCAGTTATAATAAGTACAACAATAACTGCTACAAGTAAGTTTGATATGATGTCTATTCAGTGGTTCAGTTTGAGTACTGTACATACAAAACAGTCACAAAAAGAAAACAGCTTCAGAAGGCCCTAGATTTAAAAAGCATAATAATGCAAGACGAAAAAAAGCAAGAATTGAAAAAAAAGACAAATAAAAATGTTTTTAATTGTGATACAACTAAATTTCAAAATACACCACAGAGCCTTTAGTCAGAATTTAGTTGCTTCCAAGCGTCACCACTGAAGATACACAATACCTTTTGAGATGTTCGCAAACATCTGAGCCTTGAGAATATTTCCAGTGATAAGTCATACAATTTAATTTGATACAAAACAATGGAGTATAAAATGTATTTTTGTCTTTTTGTTTTTAGGGACTGTGTGTACTTGTGCCTTCTGAACAGTGGGACCAGTTTTGTAGCTGGCTTTGCCATCTTCTCTGTACTTGGATTCATGGCATATGAGCAGAACACAGACATATCAAAAGTGGCAGAGTCAGGTGAGAAAACAAGAACAAATCATGAAATTAATGAACCATTAAATTACTGAAATGTAGTTTTAGTGTAACGTTTTACTCAACAGAAACAAAATGTCCAGATGTCCATTATTTCTTATCTCATTCTCACTGCAGGTCCTGGCTTGGCGTTCATTGCATACCCTCGAGCAGTCGCCATGATGCCTTTCCCTCAGCTCTGGGCGATATTCTTTTTCATTATGATCATCCTGCTGGGACTGGACAGTGAGGTTAGCTACAGACAGAGTAATAATGAGTTGTGTTTTCTGCCATGTTTGATGCATAAAGTGTTTATGAACTTGCAGAAGGTTTGGTTTGAGGTCTGTGGGTGTCTCACAGTTACAAAACAAATAATTTTATTAGCTCTGACAGGAAAGTTTCTGGTGAATTTCAAGAGTTTTAAACTTCTGCACTTACAAATACAACGAAAATCTGGCTCATATATCCAATGAGTTTTTGTTACTTTGTGTATTTGATGCACATTCAGTCATCATTATCAAAAAATATATTTATTTAGAGGATTTTGAAAACTAAATTATTATGAAATGCCAAGTATGTATCTATGTGTGCAGCATGTCTAGAGTTACTGTGTAACTGTGAGGTCTGTGTTTCAGTTTGTAGGTCTGGAAGCTCTCGTAACAGCAATTTCTGACCTAAATCCTTCCTTCTTCCATGTTGGCCATCGACGTAAACTTCTTCTGCTTGCTATCAGTGTCTTTAGTTTCTTCATTGGCCTTGTAATGGTTACAGAAGTAAGATCAAATCAAAATGCCACTTATTTTACAATAACCTTTTTTTTTATTATGATAAAAGACAATAACACACTAACTGAGGTCACGTTTCACACACAGGGTGGACTGTACATATTCCAGGTGTTTGACTACTATGCCTGCAGTGGGATGACTCTACTTCTCTTTGCCACACTCCAGTCTTTGTGTATTGGGTGGGTTTACGGTGAGTTATTAAACAAGAGGAACATCCTTCTGTTTCTTCCCTGTTATTTTAAATTCCCTCACCACAGCGTTTCCATCTACTTACAGGTGCAGACCGGTTTTATGAAAACATAGAGGAAATGATTGGATACAAGCCTTTTCCCCTGATTAAGTATTGTTTGAAATATGTCACTCCAGTTATATGCATGGTGAGTTGCAGTTGCAGTTATGCCAATAAACTGCTGCAGGAATGAGCGCTAAAACCACTGGCTAAAACCCAGAACTGAGTTAGCATTTCATGCACCTTTTTTTATTTAGATGCCTGAAAGGTCTGTGGTTAACACAAGCTTAAGAGATTTTCACCTTTTGTTCTACAACATAAAATTTGTAATTTAACATATTTAACGTGTTCATTAGTAAAGATAAACTTGCTAAATAAAATATAATGAAGAATCCCATTGACATCATCCCTGCAGGATGCTATTGACCGTTAGCTAAGCCCTATCCCCCGGGAGCGTACCTATGTGCCCCGGGTCCTATGTTCCCCAGACCGGGGGACCCTAACCCTAACCCTAACCTTAGTGGGGAACATAGGACCCGGGGAACATAGGGATGACCCCCTATCCCCCTTAGTTACTGTTGCTGTTGCTCTGCCTGTCTTGCACAGAACATGTGCAGTTTGCAATAATAAGGGTGATACCACCTGCAAATCTGAGTGATTTGTAAAATGATTACTTGATTTGAGACAAAAGAAGACAAAAGCAGGCTTCTCATGTCCTTCCTGTGGGTGGCCATCGATGTTTTTACGGTTTAAAACGACTGAAACTTTCGCTACCTGTAGCTTGGTAGCGAATACGCTAACATTAGCTCAATGAGTAAGTTGATCCACCTGACTCGCATTGTAAAAGGAGTCTTAAATATGCACTTGATGGCCATGTAACTACACCATATTGTGCTAAAAGAGTCTAAAGCTGCATGACCCAGTTGATGATTCTTATAAAAGACGTGCAAAGAAAGAAACATTAACAGTACATTAACGTTAGCAGTACCGTTATGTTAACTGTTAACAAAGAGGAGTAAAAAGTTGGTAATCTTAGCTTAAACTCTGATAGCTTCCAGGATTTGCTTCCACACAGTAGGGAAATACTACACAGTGAATCAGCTAGTTGTGAACGAGGGTATTTTCTAACTTAACCAGTAATCGGTTGTCGCGTATTGAAAAAAATAAAATGCACTGTCCCTTACTGAATCAATATGCTGCATGATTTGTCCCGTATTTCTCTTCTGCAATTTCCAGAAGAGAAATATTAAGTGTTTAACACTCAAAATATAATAGGGAGGCTCCCGAGACCCGCTGCTTGACTTGTGTCCAGCCATGGGGCCACTGGCATGGTGTCCCTTATTCCTCCACGTTGAAGGTGGCAACCCTAATTGCAGCTTATATCAGTGCAAATACGAACCCTGTTTAATCAATTCCCAACACTTTTCTCTTGTGTCTTTTATTTAGGACTAAACAAAACTAAAGTAAAAAAAGCACTTCCTTTGCAAATACACAGTATGTAATATATCAATCTTACTACACTGCATCTGGAGAAATCAAAAGCTTGGTCAGATCATCATCACAAGAAGGGGGATTTAGCTATCGGCCAATTGAGTTGTTTCCAGAAAAGAAGTTGAATTAATCATCATTTTTAAAGGAGATTCTGTTTAATAAGTGCCCTTATCAATTTCATGTTTACCCTTTATTCTTACATTTAAATGGTTTTACTTTCACTCATTAATAGCCTGACGAGATTTGGAGACATTTATGACATTTTGTATTGAGTTTTCCCAGGACTTTAACAGCTTTCTCTGTAACTATTTTCAGGGAACTTTTGTTTTCTCCTTGGTAAAATTCACTCCTCTGAAGTTCAACAGCACAACTGAGTATCCATGGTGGGGTTATGCTCTCGGGTGGTGGTTCACTCTCTCCTCCACACTCATGGTTCCTCTCTGGATGGTGTACAATGTGAGCATCACTCCCGGTACACTGCGACAGGTGAGCTGTTCGTATATAAATGGGTCAACATGTCTCCATAAAGCTGTGTATATTTAATTTTTTTTAAAACCTATTTTCTTCTTTGTTAGAGGATCGCCATTTTATGTACTCCAGCCAAAGACCTTTCTTCAAACAAATCAGAGAAGAAAGCTCTTGGACTGCTCGACATGACCTCATCTCCTAACACCATGGTGTCTTAGTGACAACAGACAACTGAAGCAGCTTCAGATATGCTAAACAAGCGTGAAGCATAAGGAAAAGCTTGCCCTCAATCCAGTAGTCTTAATCCAAGTTTCTTTTAAAGCAGTGGTTCCTAACCTTTTTGATGTTTGACTTCTTAAAGCAAAGCAATGTTTACTCGTAACCTCCAGTCTCTGGTTGCACCAGTTGGATGCAACCAGTTCAACGAAAGACACATTTTTTTGGGCTTGAAATGCTTAAAAGCAAAGATTAAAGGTAAATCTGAAAGAAATGTACTTTTGTACAGCAGAAATATGTTTCTTGTCATCTTGTGACCCCCTCAGCTTTAACTTTCAACCCCTCGTGTTAGTCCTGACCTCCTGGTTGGGAATCACTGCACTAAAGGAATGGCTTGAAGTTTATGGTGATTTCACTTATTATTAAGCACTACAAAGTTTAAATGCAGACTCAGACAGAAAAGGAAATATTTTCAACAATATGGTCAAGAGAATATAAGCTCAAAGGTTCACTTACTGTACAGTGAGTACAGTACATTTGTTTTCTCATTGGTTTCTGAGCTTCCAGCCATGGTCTTCATTCAGCCACAGGTGTCATCACGTGAGCTCCAACTGCATCACTGACAGCGAGCGTGTAGGGCTGAAACTAATCATTATTTTCATTATCAGTTTTTTTTTAAATAGTTGTTTAGTTTTTAAACGTCAGAAAATAGTGACAAATGTACGTTAAAGTTTCCCAGAGAGTGAAGACAACAAAAGACAATAATCATTTTACAATAATATAAAACAGCAAATCCTCACCTTTGAGAATCTGGAGTTTTGTTTATGCAAAAGCATTTACTCGATTAGGATTCTATTGATTGATAAATTATTAATCTCTTAGTTCTTTCAGCTGTACTAACAAGTGGACCTTAAAACTATCTTCATGAGCCAAAGGTCATGAATGAACATCATGCTCGAACGCAAATTGACATGTGATATTTTAAATTGTTACTCATCTAAAGAAAAGGGTATTGAATATGAGAAATAATGAGAATATGGGTGTTCTTTTGTTTTGTTTGTTTAGTTTAGTTTTGTTTTAACCAGGTTGTTTAACTATTCACAGTAAAACAAACATTTGCCAGATAAAGCCATATGGATTGAACACTAAGTCACTTTTTGGTCACTGTGAGTGACGTGAATTAAATTCCATTTTGTCAATGTAAGCTGTAAATTAGAACTATTAAAGCAGTGACGTGAAAAAAAAAATCCACCAATAAGTGCACCTTAGCCGACTGAGCCACCAGGCTGTCCCAACGCGGTTCCTGACCTAAGCAGAGTACTTTTACTGTAAAGACGTGCTAGTGCTGCTTACACAGGGAGGAAACTAGTTTGGTGTTTGGTGTTAGATAAAAACAAAACGGTAGTGCCAAACAAGTTGTATTGTGATGACACCAAATGTAAAAGAGAAACAGCGTGCAAACCTGTTGGCTGTAACAGTCAGAAACAGAAAATATTTTATGAAAGTCAAATAGATTATATTTTTACTGTAGTCTCAGCTGTAAACTTGTTTGATTATAGTTTTTATACACAATACTCATATATCAAGTTTTGCAGATTCATCATTTTGTATCCTTTTCTGTATCATATATCATTGAAATTTGTGGTAATAGTTCATTGTGTACCACGTAAATGCTGTAATATGACATTATTCACATTTAAGGATCAATAATTATTTTCAAAGGATATGTGTAACAGAAACCATGTAAATTTGTGTTTAAATTGACAGTGTCACATTTTATATTACTAGTTGTTAACATTCTATAAATCATGAACAACCAGTTAACTAATGTTTTATTAATGAAAATATTTGTGTGATAATACATTGATGATTTAAATCCTATTAAATAATGTGCAGTTCTTTAAATATTATCCATGAATTAGGCAATCAGGTATTAATGTGATTAAGTATTAATAGGCTTGAGTAAACTACTGGCTTATCATTATTGATTTATTTCCTTGTTTGTCATCTCATTATTTGGTCAAACTGACTCATGTTGAATGGTAAGAGTTAGTACTTAACTTTTGATGAGTTAAATATATATAAATCAATAATGGATACGACATGGATCAGATTAAATTAAATAGTATTGTAGAAATTCAAGTGAAAGTAAACTATTAATCTTTTATAGACATTCAGTAATGATCAGTTACCAGTTTGTTGTTGTTTGAGAGAAAAGTTGTTTCATGGTCATTTTTGGACCTTTGTTTATGAAAACAATTAAAATCAATCATTTGTAAATAATATTGATAATAAAATAATACTAGTAATTTGGAAATAATTCCTAAATGATTTGTTTTGAGAATGTTACCCAGTTCCAGATCCTTTTCTGGGCCAATGCTTCGTGTCCTTGAATGCATCAAAACATTTCCAACAAAGCTGCAATGCCACACATCAATATTTTAGTTGAGAAAACAACCACATGGTTCATTTTGAAGCTTTCACAAGATCTTAATTATTAGATTTTAACCTAACATGTACAAGAAGTCCTTAAAGTGCTCAGAAAATGGAAACGTGAAGCAAACTCCCCCTGCTGAGTGTAACCAAAGGTTCAAGAATAGCTATTAAACAGACCTTGTCGTGTGTTTTCTCAGCTGTTGTTTCTAAGGTCGAGAATGAGTTTTGAATGGATACATATTTTTGACAAAAAATAAAGAGGATGAATACTAAAGCGGCTGTAATTGATATTTTTATAATAATGTATCAAGTGACAAATGAAAACAATGAAGAGATGAGTAGAGATGAACCTATAGAGTGTTAGCATCTGAATCTGCAGCTCCCCTTGACTTTCTGGAGATTTATAGGGGTGGTAGGGGCGGTAGGGGCGG